AGGAGTTAGGAGCTTCTAAATCAATGACTCTCTGCCTTGGCTAAACATTGGAGTCATTTATGAGCTTAAAAAAAAAACAACCCTGATTTTGAGTCCTACCCCAAGAGATTCTGGTGTAATGGTCCAGGTGCAGCCTAGGGACAGGGTTTTTAAAAGCTTCCAAGATAGATTTGATGTGCAGCCAGGACTAAAACCACTGCTCTAATTCTCCTTAGCAAGGAAGTGACCTTTGGCAGCCAACAGACTCCCCTAACAACATGGCTTCCACTAGGAATTGTTCTGAGAGCTCTTACAAAGGCTGCTGTAGATGCCACTGAGGTGGTTACATTTTGTTAAAAATTGGGACCATCTGCAGGAGACTGGCAAAAATCCATGCTAGCACAGAATGAAACAAGATTGAAATTATTCAATTTCCCATGTGTGAGTCACTGCTCAAGACTGAGATGGCTTTCAAAGTATAATTCAGGTATTTTTTTCTTTTTTAATTTAAAAGAGGAAATCTAAATGTGCTCATTACAATTATTAGAAAATGAAAACAATGCATATTTATTCACTTTGAACATACTTTGACGTCATTGACAGGTAGTGTGGTACACTGGACACAATTTGGGAGTCCAGTGGACCAGGTTTGAAGCCTGTCCCACATTTACTAGCTGTTCAACTTTCAGTGAGTTACTTAATGTCTCTAAGCATTGTGTGTTCTTCCTCCGTCAGATGGAGATGATGCTCTGGCCTCTGGTGTTGCTATAGGATCAAATGAGATCATGCACATGGTATGTGCTTGGCATGTAGTAAGTGCTAAATAAAAGAGAGCTGTTCTTGCTGGTTTCTGGCTCCAAAAAGCACCCAGCATATCTGCAGCCACTTTGTACCAGGAGGCTGAAGATAATGAACAGCAATGTAGGGCCCTGATCGATGGAAGAAAAGACCGTTCACCTATATAACTATGAGTCTCACTGTGTGCCCATTTCTGAGCCTAAGGCAAAAGATATTTATCTGGCAGGCACCTTCCCTGTAGAAAGTTCGTCTACAGTCTGAAAGTTCACTGTCTGCAATTAAGAGACTCTCAAACAGATTCCAAATACAGAGTCCCCTCCCGATTAAATTAAAGATGATAATCACATTTCACCATCACTAGGGGTTAGCTGTTCCTTTTTGGGGAATCATCTTCAAAACCGTATCCAATAATTTCAGGACTGGTTCCATTGCTTATTTCTGTAGAACTTGTGAAATACGAAATAATACCCAAGATAACTCTCTGAGATGGTTTGGAAAATATTGGTACATTTCATATCCTGGCCTTTTGCTGTCTCTTCCTTTCTGTTGTAGGCACACGCTTCCTGGACTGAACCTCTAAGTATTTTGTTCTACCCCTTAAAGATTTATTTTTAGAAGGAAAATAAAACTGGATTTTAAGTGTTCTAGAAGCAGTTTCCTTTCATGACTTACTGAGAGAGTAAAATTACATCCAATATGAAACTAGCATATTCCCTACGTGGATGTAAACCCACCTGCATTTTTCACATGTCAAACGGCCCTAGTCTTCACAAGGCCAACACAGAGCTGAAGGAGTCAGTTCATTAATGTTATAGGAAAAAATGATTTGTCAATAATTCTCTCATAACATAATGGTGACTTGACTTAATTTTAAAACTAGATCAGTATTAATTCCCTTTGATAAACACACATACTGCATACACATCTTGAGAAATAGCACTTTATCCTTGTTTCCTAACATTAACATTACCACTGTTATTAATGTTTATATTATCCAAAATAACATTGACTGAATGCCAGCCAAGATCAACAAATCTCTGAATTGGATTCAAGCAATTAGTTACCAATGTGGGAATCACCAAAAAGGCACAGACTCCCATCAAACACACATATGCCTGCCATACCCAAACTCTCATGGAAATTACCTCAGAGGACTAGTAAGAGAATTAAATCAAATTAAATGCGGTCATGTAAGGGAAGGCACCTGGTATGCAACAGTTGCTTATTAAATATTACAGTTGGACCTTGAACCACAAGGGCTTGAACTATGTCGGTCCACTTAGATGCGGATTTTTTCCATTAAATATACTGGAGGACTGTTCAGAGATTTATGACAATTTGAAAAAACATTTTCTCTTCGTTAGCTTAATTTATTTCAAGAATTCAATATGTATAGGTAAGTATATAATACATGCAGCACACAAAATATGTGTTAACTGTTTATGTTATCAGTAAAGCTTCTGGTCAACAGTAGGCTATTAGTTAAGTTTTGGGGGAACAAAAGCTTTACATGGGTATCGGGGGTCAGCATCCCTAACCCCCACATTGTTCAAGAGTCAGCTGCAGTTGACAGTAGAAGTTGTCTAGTTCCCAAACTGAAACACCTTGGCCATAGTAACATATTAAAACAAATTTCTGGTTTAGTGTCTGGATAAAAATTGCTTTCATAAGTTGCTGTGTGTTTAGGTTTAATTAGAAAACACAATACATTATTATTCCTGCCTGTTAGCTATGTCAGTGACCTTTCTATCAATAGTTTAATACATTTTTCAATAACATGATCAATATTTCAAATGCAAAACATTGGAACTTTGAAAAAAGATTGTCACTTGACTTTTATGGTGTTTTTTCTAAAACTTTTATCTTTCAAAAAGATTCATTAAGTGTTAAACAGATTTGTAATGATATGTAATGAATTGTAATAGTCAAAAACTGGTTTGGGGCAAAAGAGTTTTAAAAATAATCAACTTTAAAAATACTCCAAATGTTTACAATATTCAAATCATAATATCACACAAAAGGGCAAACGTTGTATGTTTCCACTTATATGAGGTGCTTAGAGCAATCAAATTCATAGAGACAGAAAACAGAACGGTGGTGGCCAAGGACTGGGGGCAGGGGGAAGTGGGGAGTTATGGTACAAGTTTAATGGTACAAACTTCACTTTGGGAGGATGAAAAAGTTGTGGAAATGGATGGTGGCAATGAAGGTGCTTTGTGGCAGTGACCTGTCCTGTATACCTAAAAATGATTAAAATGATAAATCTCCTGTTATATGTATTTTACACAATAAAAAAAAAATAGTACCCTCACTAACATCTAATGTCTAATGTTTCAACAAGGTAGAACATTACTTCGAGCAAAGAACTGTCATTTCACCATGATTTGGTTTCACAGCGGGTGGCGCGTGAACATACCCACGATCAAGGTGAGGCCCATGCTCAAGGAGCTGACCCACGCGGTCAGGCCACGGCTCTGGCGGAACTCCTCCAGCCACTCCACGTTGAGGACCCCCAGGGCCATCTGCGAGCCCATGACGAGGATGTGCACAAAGAAGGAGGAAAGCACCACCATCCACGCCCATCCGCCATCGATGTGTGGGTGGGCTCGAAGGGTCTTCTTATCTTTGGGGTCATCTTCAAAATCATACCCAATATCTTCATGGCTTGTATACATTTTCCAAGATTTTCTGAAATACATAAGACACATCATTCTCTTAAACATCAACACAAAAATATCTTCACCCTCTTTGGACGGCTCCACGTCCCCATCACAGCCAAAGCAGCCCCGACGGGCATGGCAGATCAATCTTTGCCATTGTGCAGATTTGGGAACATTCTTCAGGTTTTCACAGGACCAAGTGCTTTTATGAAACCCGTTTCATCTTTATAGTCATCCTATATGTAGGCATAACCCATGTTTTAAAGTAATGGAAACAGACCCAGAGAAGTGAAGTGCCTTTCCCAAGTCCCCATGGCCAGTAAGGAGCATGACTAGACAGGACCTGGGGAACTGAATCCACCTATTCCTGACTCCAAAGCCCATGCCTGTGTCCCATACTGAGATGGACACTGACAGGTGACAGCAAAGATGTCAGAGAAGGTAGCTTCACCTTGCTGGGTAGGGCCCCTGGCAGTGGACCTGGTCCTCATTTTGTGGGACAAAATGTTCAATTTGTCCAGGAGAGCCGGAGTGAATTAGCATCAGGGCGACCGACTCACTGACTCCGGTTCAGGAGAGAGAGAGTGATGAAGTAGAAAGCCAATCTATTATTTTTACAGTGGAAGATCTAGCTTTCTAATACTGGCGATGCTTATGTCCGATATACAAGACACATACTTTAACCTCCCCCACCCACCTCCATTCCCAGCATTTCCCTGGGAAACGAGAAAATTGTTCGAAAGATAGGAAACCACACTAAAAGAATGCGGACACTATAGTGACACATAGGTTACCAGGTAAGGTTACCAGGGAACAAGGTATGTGCCAAGTGTGGAGCTTGGAGTTCATCTTGTATGTAGTGAAGAGCTGAGGATGAACAAGGAAAAGACATGATGAGATTAGTGCTTTGCGAAGATCCACCTCTCAAGGGGTTTGGGGAAGAGGAGGGAGGCTGGATGGGACCAGAAGGGGAAGGACGCCAGGTCAGGGAGGACTCTAGCTCTGTTTTTCTTTCTTAGGATGAGAATTACATGTGTGCATAAGAACTGAGAATAAGGAGGAGAGAGGGAGAGGGAATGAGTGATCCTGGAGGGGGCGGGAAGGAATTGGTCTTGGTCAGGAGGAGCAGCCCGTCCTCTGGGACTGGGGGAGGCAGTGGATGGAAACAAGACGGCGGGGGTGGGATGGAGAGTTACACCTGATGATCTAATTTCTTTGGTGAAACAGGTAGATCATTGGCTGAGAACGAGGCGGCTGTGGTTATGATCGGGCCTCAGTTCAGGATAACAGAAGACAGCTGTCTCCAAGTGGAAACGACGGTTGGGCAGTGCTGCACGTGGAGCTGCAGGGCAGGAAGGACAGAGCAATGGAAGCACTCTGCCCCAGAAGCTGGTGGTTAAGAGGAGCATCACCAGTAGAGAACTTCTAATCACAACAAATGACTAAAAGTTGGTCTTCTTTTTTATGATCATTAAGAGCCAGCAATTCTAGACACTGTCACTGATAAAACACTCCTCTCAGAAAACATCTGCTGGTTAAAGTTTCAAACAATTATGTTTTAATTTTATATCTATAAACTTCAAATCCGCATGACGTTATTACTTATCCCTCCATGAACATTGTATTCCTCATGGAAGTCATCCCAGAGAACTCTCGGTTATCCTGCTGACCCTGACACACACATGGCCCCGGCTGCACACATTTGTTTTGAGAGTAAGTTCCTAAGAGTTCAGAACTGGTGCAGCTGTGGGTCTACAGCTCTGGTGGTGCCAACATCACTGCCTTTAGCAGGACATTCGAGATGGACTGTGACAACACAGTTACTGTAGAGCTGAAGAACCACAACTTGAGTCACTCTACATGCCGACTTGGGGATTTTGCTTTTGTTTAAAATCTAAAAGAGCAAAACAGTGCGATACAGCAAAGGTAAAAAAATCGTTGGAGAGTGAAATTTGTAGTCAACTCATGAAATGTTTAATTCAATTTGAATATCTTTAAAATGGAAATCTATTCTTTTTTTCAATTAATTATTTTAAAACAGAAGAACAAAGAAAATATGATTATTACTGCAAATAATCTGTTGCAATGGAAGAAGGTGGTATAAAAAACAGTCCCAAATACACTAGCATCACCTCCAACTGGGGTCTTTTTTCAGTGGTGTTCTGATGTGGATGGTAGGACAGGGATGCAGGCTAGCAAAATGCCCAGTGCCCACAGCCTCTTTCTGAGCTAAGAATTGTTTTTACCTTTTTAAGGTTTATATGGCCCACAAAACTTAAAACAATGTATTCTCTGACCCTTTGTAGGAAAAGATTGTGAATCCCTGGACTATAGTGTTGGTTCTCATGAAAAATTTGCTGGGAACCCAGGATGCCTGTGGAGAGCAATTTAATGGATCTGTTTGGGGGCTCACCTTGACTTTTCCTTTCTCTCGTGCCTCATTCTTGTTATTATTTTCATTTTTTAAATGATTGTGTCCTAAAAGGTCACCCAATTTCTCAACCACTACACTTCCTGCCCATGTTGCTGTTCTCTGCCTGGGTCTTTTTCCACCTCTCTTATCTCCAGATTGCTGGGAGTCATAAAATGCTCCCTTATCATGTAATTTCCCCACCTTGTCAAGTTATCTTTAGGATCAAGTCCAGACTCCCCCTGGAAGCTGCCAGGTCCTCTTCTCGCATTATCTGCTGCCCATCCCTCCTTCCCTGGCACTCTGCTCTCCAGCTTCCCAACCTTGGCACAGTCTCTTAAGCTTTCATGCATGGTCTTCTCTGGGTCCCTCTTTCAGGAGCACACTTCTCTCCTAACCTCCTGGTCCTCTTCTGCTCATTTCTCAAGATTCAACTAAGTTATAAGAGCGAAATCTTGAACTAGTGAGGACTCTTCCCACCCTGCAAACGTCTCTAACATCCAACATTAGGGTACATGTTAAATAAACCAATCATTATACAGCCATGCGATACAAGTCTGCCATCAAAAATAAAATTGTACAAGGCTCTCTGAAGACACAGAAAGGTCACCAAAAGGGGTGAATTATACTTGGGGGTTACAAAATGGGATGTGTGCAGTCATCCCTATATGCTGTTAAAAATATGTAGGATTGCAGTGAAACAAAGAAAAACGTTGATGGAGATTATTTTTGGATGATGGTCTTCAAGTAATTTTCCCTCCTTTTTGTTTATCTTATTGGTAAAAAAAATTTCTAAATAAGCATATATTAACTTCATGATAAGAAAATAAAGGTCCTGCTCTTTGTCTCTTAAACATCATCTGGACCAGCTTCTTGTCTCCAGTAGATTAGTGGCTAAATTGTAAGAGAGAAATAAAAGAAGAAAGGCAATTCAAGAGGCACTTCCCTTAGGCAGTCAAGTCTGCGTTGGGCTCTATCTAGGCTTCTGCGTGTATCTGCCTCTCCCCTCCTCTCTCCCAACAAAAGGATAGACTGTCTAAGGACAGAAAAGGGTGGGGAGCCTTGCTTTCCAAAGCTCACAGCTCAGAAAAGAGCTGCACTCTCAGAAGGGCCTGGACGACGAACTTAGAAAGGTTTCAGGAGGAGTGCTCGGTGTCTCTGTTCCCTCTGTCCCTGCTGGTTTCCTGCACAATCCCTACGAGCCAGAAGGAAGAGAACCAGGCAGCTTGACAAGGGATGCGACTGGCCTACATGAGTAATAATGTCGTTTTATAATCTGTGGGACACTGTTCAGCACTGTTTAATAAAAAAAGCAACACAATTTGGCATTTTCCTAAAGCCCATCTAAGAAAGACTTTGAAATAATATTGTAAAAATCATAGTTTTTCAACTATGAGTGGAAATAGTAAGCATTTTTCTAAGCAATGTTAGGAACTTTATATTCTTCCTGAATTATTTATTTTATGGGTTAAGAGATGCAGTTGCCATTGAACTGCTCTGGACATTTCCAGTTTATTTGTTCATAAATAAATGGTGTTGAATGGCATTTAATGCGCAAGTTTTATTCAAGAGGCACAGCCGTGCATGTAGAATACAGTGTCAAATGGAGCATTGGTGGGAGGTGGGGGTGGGTAAAACCAAGTCCTATCAGGTCCTCAGGAGATCCTTAAAGAGATACCCGGCAATGGAGTCATCTGCATTTCACGTTTAAATCTCTCTAAAAATAATTTGTTTTGACTAGTCATAGTTAACTTATTGTCCAACCAGATTAACTTAAAGAAACAAAAGACAACAGAAAAATAAACGTCTATCTCCACCACCCACAAGTTTGCTTTTAGCATTTTAGCATTTATATAATTGTAAGATACAAAATAATCGTTTGAGTATCATAATCTTACTCTACACCTGGTGGGAGGGAGCGAGAACTGGGAGAAGGTTCTGGACTGCTCTTCTGTCCCCAGGCTCCAAGTCTTTCTCCACCATATGGCCTCCCAGCACCTTCTCCATATCCTGTAAAATGAATGACCTGAGTGTGTGGCACCCTGGGGTAGATGAAGGCAGTGAGTTACCGGGCTTCTGCTAAGGTAAAGTGTAACACATTCTAGCCTGGCCTTTTGGAAGCTCAGCATTTAACAGGGTCTTGCACTGAAGGAAGAAAATGGGGAGAATATGGGAACCAACGTTTTCCACTCGCCCCAGATACGAGTTCATGAGCAGTGAAAAAGAAATCATAAACGGGGGAAATGAAGTAATAACACCTGCAGGCTATGAAATGGAGGTCAGGTATGTATATACGTGTTAACAGGCAGGAGTGACAGTAATTTTGAGCCTGCCAGAGTCTATCAGAGATTAACACTAAATTAAAATGTCCACAGTTTTGCTACAAGATTAAGTTGTGTAAACAAGCATTCATTTTAAATGTGGCTATTGTGACTAGATTAGCACAGGGTGAGCTCTTTATAAAGGACAGGCAGAGGGGAAAGTGCCAAGTGAAAACGGAAAGAGCAGGGACGGTAGCAGATTCATTAGATGCAGGTGGCTGGTGGGTCCCCCTTTGGTCTGACTCAAGTTTTTTGCCCTATGGACCTGGTGTGCACAGGGAATCTTGGGCCTTTAGAGGGCGCCCTTGAGGCCAACAGGATGAAGAGGCTTGGAGCCCCCAGGGCTGGGGAGCTGAGACTGCGTGGAGAAGGCAGCGCGGGAGAAGCCTGGTACCCCAGCTGGGCTCACGCTGCGCTGGGAGAACCAAACACCAGTGCCTTCTATGGGTCAGGGGCTACGCTGGGTCGCTTCTCCACAACGAATCCTGTCCAGTTGGTAGTAATGCTCCATTTCACAGATGAGAAAACTGAGGCTATTTGTCGGACGGAGACTATGAAGCTTGGAGAGGTTAAACTAGCAGGTAACTGGAGCCCAAATCTGAACCCAGGCCTGCGAGATCCCAGTGTCCATTTATTCTCTACCCACCTCCCCAATAAACTCTCTTCCCCGGTGACCTCTCCCCCACCCCACACGGCCAGACAAGGCGAAAAGAAATCTTTCTAATCCTCAATAATACGCCTCACTTATCCTTGCTAATGAGCCTGAATCAACTTTTTCGCGGGAAGAAAACGGCTTAATCGGTAAGCAGAGCTGAGCTCCTAAAACGCCGTCAGTGGCTCTGCAGACGTTCGGCCCCGAAGTGGCTGGCCTGGGTCCCTCGCCCCCAGTTTTGTCCCCACTTTCGTCCTGGGGGCGTCGACCAGACCCTCCCTAGGGGACAGATGTGCACGCCCCAGGCTCGCCCGCCCGGTCCCGCCCTGGCCGCCCCCCACCACCACCACGGGCCCCGCGTTTTCGCCTTTCCCCGCACCCCGCGGCCCCGGCACGCCGGGGACCCCCCGGCTCCGCGGGCAGCCTGCGCGGGAGGCGTCCGGCACCCCCGCAGTGCCGCGGCCGCGGTCCCCCCACCGCTCCATCGCCGCCCAGTTGGCCGGGCGGGAGCAGGCGCGCGCCCCCACGCCCCGCCCCGCGGAGCCTCGCCGCCGCCCCGGAGCCCCCGGCCGGTGGCCCTGGCTGCGCCGCGCGGGCAGCCCCCCAGCCCCGCCGGGGCCCGCGCCGTCCCTCCCGCGCGGCCGAGGCGCCCCCGCGCCGCCGCGGCCCGGCCTCGGCGCACTCACCGCCGGCAGCCCGGCGGCCGCGGCCTCCCTCGGCTCCCGGCCGCTTTCCCCGGGGCCCCGGGCGCGGCTGCGCGGCGAGGTCTGCCGCAGGGCCCCCGGGCATCCCGGAGCTGCGGGCGCCCGCTGCTCGGTTCCCCGCGGGCTCCGGGCGCTCGGGGCGACGCTCCCCGGCTCCCCCGCCGCTCGCCGCCCAGCCGGGCGGCGCTTCCAGCTCGAGGCCTCAGTCCGTGCGGCTCGAAGAAGGGTGCGGGTGGAGGTGTCGGAACCTAACCTGAGCTTTCTTCCAATCGGTGCAATTTCGAATCTCCACGCTCGTTCATTCCTATACCGGCTAATTCTGGTTTGGCAGAAAAAAATTGCAGTCACCTCACGTGCACACTCTTGTGGCCGGTTGAAGTTTATAGCTGGGGCTGCGGTTCGCTAATGCTCGGCACATGCATGCCTGGAGGAAGGGGCCTGAAACCTGAGCCAAGGCTCGGGGGACACGAGACGCGCCTTCCGTTTCTCTGAGATAACGGAGAAGTGACGAAAAAGGTCTCGCCTGTGTCTGGGCCACAAAATAACGGCAGTTTTAGGTGGACGAGTAGGTCGGGACCTGCTGCACGCCTGGCCGAAGAGGACTGACCATCCCATATCCACCGCCTCCTCCTGGTTCCCTCATCTCCCTGCTTTCCCGTATCTGACTGTGGTCCCAACCTACATTCCGGGACACCAGGCACAGATTTCCTTTCCATGTGCACCCACCCTGTTCCCAGCACAATGCTTCACCCACAGAATGTTTGCAATACTTCTTACAAGAATGTGCGGGTAAGTAAAGCCAGTGCTATTTTTTCCTTACCTGAAGGACTTTGTGATAGTTTCCTATTGCTGTTGTAATAAAGTGTCACAAACCGAGTGGCTGAAAACAACATGAATTTAATACCTTACCCTTCTGGAGGTCAGAAGTATGGGATGGCGTTGGCAGGGCAGTGTTCCTCTGGCACCAGGGTCCAGAGGATGCTGCGTTTCTTGGCTCCTGATCGCGTCTTCCGTCTTCCAAGTCAATGGCATCACCTCGTTCCCTGCCTTTCTCCCATGGCCACATCACCGTCTCTTCTACTCTGTCTCTGTCGTCCACTTTTAAGGGCCCTCGGGATTACACTGGGCCTACCCAATGGTAATTGGGTTACTGGCTAATCCAAATAATCTCCCTGTTTTAAGGTCAGCTGGTTACAAATCTTAATGCACTTGCAACCTTAATTCCTCTTTTGCTAGGCAAAGTAGTGTGGTGGCAGGTTCCAAGGATTAGGATGTGAACCTCTTTAGGGACCATTATTTTACCAGAGGTTTCCTTCTTTCTTCCTTTCCCCCCTTCCTTTCTTCTTTTTCTCTCTTGCAAAAAAGAATGATCAAATGTATCCCATGCAAAAGTGAATGATTACTTTGCCATTTCATATGTGAAATCTCAATGAAAAAATAATTGTGAACATTGTGGCAAATTGTGGCCAAAGAGGACATTTTGGTGAGGGACTAGGTGTTTGTGGTCCAAACCTTTGGCTTTGGCTGATCAGAACATGGAAAATAGATGGTGAGCTGTCCCTTGGGCTGCCCTCAGCTGTCACTCATTTTAGCCAGGCTTTTGACAGCAAGTCAAGATTGGGGTTCCTTGCAAGTTCCTCCTGGGCAGATGATCCACCTTGTTGAAAAGAGGTCTGTAAGATTTTTAAGTCTGTTTTACTTATTTTTTCCTTGGTGAAACCTTATAGATTCATTGAAATATATTCATGTATTATGAACTGTACATATTTACATGTACAATTTGATGAATTTTAGCACACATCTATGGAACCATCACGTCAATGAAGTAAAGCCAAAATGTCCCCTGTGCCCTTTGTGATCTAGTGCTCACCCCATCCCCACATCCCCAGGCAACCTCTCCTCTGCTCTCCTAGAAGCTTCTACTCCAAGCAATGTGTACTTCACATCTAGAATGCCTACAGAAGGCTTTCTTTTCTTTCTCCAGCTTTATTGAGGTATAATCGACAAATAAAATTGTATATATTTAAAGTGTACAAAATAATGATTTGATGCATGTTTACAATGTGGAAGGATTACCACAATCAAGTTAATTAACACATCCAACACTCTACAAATTCACCTAATTATTTTTGTGGTGAGAATGTTTAAGATCTACTCCATTAGCAAATTCAAGTATACAATCCAACATTATTAACTGTCATCATTAGATCCCCAGAACTTAGTCATCTTATAACTGAAAGTTCGTACCCTTTGACCAACATCTCCCCATTTCCCCATCCCCCAGCCCCTGGCAACCACCATTCTACTTTTTCTATGAGTTCAACTTTTTTTTTTTATAGATTCTATGTATTAATTAGATCACAGAGTATTTGTCTTTCTCTCTCTGGCTTCTCTCATTTAACATAATGTCTTCCAGGTTCGCCATTTTGTCACAAATGGCAGGATTTCTTTCTTTTTTTGTTACTGAATAATATTCCATTTTCTTCATCCATTCATTCATTGATGGACACTTAGGTTGTTTCCATATCTTCGCTTGTAAATGACGCTGCAATGAATGAACATGGAGTGGAGATATCTCTTTGAGATACTGATTTCCTTAGAAGCCTTTCTGGTAAATCATTTTGTTTCCACAAGTGTCATTGCTCTTACATGCCCGGAGGGCTCTCACTGATACAGGTAGACTGGGAGCAGGCGTAGAGCAAAGGGGTCTGGGATCCGTGGGTTAGTGTCTGGGGTGTATAAATAGAAGTCCACTCTAAATTAGAATGTAAAAGACAAGCACTAAATTATTTTCATGAATCTGAAATAGAGGGACTGACATTATTTACTGATTTTTAGGCAAATAACATTATCTCTTGATTTTTTTTTTAGGCAAATCACATATTATCCCATGATAGCAATCTTACATTTAGCTGAATTGCATCAGGTAGTAACCTTGCCCCTTAAGATAAAATGATTTAAATGCTGTCTCTAAAAGCCTTCCCTCTTAGTTTTAATCGTGCATTCAACTGGTTACATTGCTCCACATCAGAGTTGGAGTGAAACTAAGAATTTGGACAATCTGTGCCTTAATTTTGGAGGTTTACTGGCATGGATTAGGCATGGTGGAATAACATCAGCTCTTAAGTTTGCTAGTACAGACTGTTGAGGGTTTTCGAGGAGTACCCTAAAGTTTCCCCTGGCTCCCTTAGTTTCATAGCCAGTCCAAATGCAAACATGACCTGAAAACCAGCTTATGCCCATGAAAACAGCTTGTCCCAGGGATTTCCATCTGCCTACCTCTCGGTGTATAAGGCAGCCCTGCTCATACCACCCAGGGTTAAAGCAGGGAGTTGGTGATGGTTAATTTTGTGTCAGCTTGATCAGTAAGTGTGGGTGAGGAAGTGAAGAAATTGGAATCCTCATATACTATTGGTGGGAAGGTACATTGGTGCCGATGCTTTGGAATCCAGGCTGGCAGCTCCTCAAAAGTTTAAACATGGAATTATCATGTGATCCAGCAACTCCACTCCTACTTTTATACCCAAGAGTAATGAGAGCATATGTCCACATGAGAGCTTGTGCATGAATGTTCAAACAGCATTATTGGTAATGTCCAAAAGTAAGAACAACTCAAATGTCTATCAACTGATGAAGGGATCAATAAAATATGATATATCCATATAATGGAATATTGTTCAGCAATGAAAAGAAATGAAGTACTAACACATGCTATAACATGGAGGAATCTAGAAAGCATTAGGTTAAATAAAGAGGTCTGTCCCAAAAGGCCACATATTGTGTGATTCCATGTGTATGAAATATCCGGAACAGGCACATCTATAGAGACAGAAAGGAGAGTAGTGGTTGTCTGCAGCTCGGAGATGCTGCAGAGGAAATAGTGACTAGGTGCTAATGTCTCTTAGCAAGGGGTGCAGGGCTTGTTTGGGTGGATGAAAATCTTCTAAAAGCAATTTTGGTGATGGTTGTGCAAGTCTGTGGATAAACTAAAAACCACTGAATGCAAAATAAAAACAACCCCAAAAGTCAATTCCCCCATAAAAGATATCCCCGCCTCCCAAACTGACTAGAGTGGACATACGTGAACTAGATCTGGGAATGGGTTATGATCAAAGTATGTTGATGAATCTGCTTCTATGTACCCGAAGTCCAAGGTGGGTTAATTCTGTTCTTTAATTTAAATGCCTTCCTTAGCCTTATCTTCCTTTAATACCTCACCTTAACCTCTTAAGCCTCTTCCTTAGCCTGTGTTATTAAGTAATAATATCAAGGAAATCATGGTTATGATGAGCCAGTTATACATTTGTCTAATGCATATCAATAGAAAGCCTATGTCCTGCTTCCAGGTTCCTGCAACCTCCCCCCTTGTTGCCTGAACATACCCCCCTGATGGGCATGCTGCTGCAGAGGCCCCCTGTCTTCCTGCGAGTTGGCATCATGAGACCGTGAAGGAAGGCCATGTGCTTTTCCAAAGGGAAGTTAGGAAAGAACACGAGGGAAATCCCAAGCACTTCAGGTCTGAATTTTCTTCCTGGGCCAGGAACCTCCCCAGATTTTATCCCAAAGCACCAATTTCTCCTGCCCCAGATGGTTTCAAGCTTACATTTACCATGAATTCAAATTCAGAGAACAGCTTAAAGGTGAATAGATACATAGCAAAAGCAGTTATATGTTTCTGTCTTTAGTCTTCAAAATTACTTACATTTTTTCTTTCTGCTAAAAATAACCAACATCCTCATGTAGTAGCATATGATTTCATAAGAGTTGAAATTCTAGAAATGCCAGCTTGGTCACCCACTTGGAAATTAAACACTTTCTTACACGTGTCTTCAAAGAAGTAATGCTTGATTCATGGAAGTTGTGTGATAGTTTTGTTGGATAACATTATAAATGATTTTTTAAAACTTCAATAAAATAAGTGATGTTAGCAAGTCATTAAAACTTTCTTGCAGCGATGAGTTTTTCTTCTTTTAACCAATCTCCATCTTCCTCATAAGTTGCTTGCAGATCAAATCTTATTTAAATGCTCACACTGGTGATTCACCAGACATACCTGGTAAATCCTTCTGAGGCTAAAAAATACTCATACTGATATATACCAACTTTTGTGTTTCATAGGTTTGGATTTAAATTTTGTTATTTCCCTTAAAGCAGAGCAACTTGTAGCTTATATGATTTAAAAAATATTTTGAGTGTCAAAAAAATGGATCATTGCCATTAAACATCCAGGCTCCATATGCAGAAGTTACCTCCACTGGCATGTTCTTTGAGCAGGTCACCAAACAGGACCAAGTCTGGGACCGCATGAACCACGATGAGAAAGAGCTAGTGTTTTCTCTCATTAGCCATGATTTTAGTGTGCTTTCTTTGCAGGAGCAAATGTGTCTGATGAAACCAGTTGAATACGTAAGATGTGGATGCCACGAACCTAAGAGGGAAGGAGACTGGATGGAAGCACTTGAACGGTTCTCTTCTTGGGGGACAAGTGTATTATCTGGAAAAATTAATGTAAGTGGTTGTAGGAAAAGGTATAGTTTAAGGAAGGATCAGTAGACAGGTTGTTTTATTTTACATGGGAGGAGGATGGTTCTCTTTTCTATGATCATTTTTGGTGGATTTCATATACTTCTGCCTTATACCTTTAAGCTGGACAGACACATCTAGGAAACCTACTAGCCAGAGATTAATCAGAATGGCCTACAGCTCTTCAGCCTTATTGTAGCAAGGTCCTCGGACCCCTTTGTTCTGTCCTGCCCTTGACCTTGGGTCTTCTTCCATTCTGTTTCCTACCTGACTCTTGCTTATGTTGACTTGGCCTTGTGTCTCAGATCCTGTTTTTCTTCTCACCTTGATGACTAGTTGGACTTTCAGTGCCCTCTCTGGGACACCTGTGGCTCTTCCAGCCTCAGGCTGGGTCTGTAATCTTGTTTGCAAGTCATTCCCCAGCTGGACCTCCAAGGCTCCACCGCAGGAGAGGATCAGGTGATTTCAATGTTCTGTGAAGGCCAAAGGCCAGCATTAGGAAACTCCCAGAGCTGTGTAACCAGTGATTATGAAAACCCGGTTGCAAAGCAGCAGAGCGTGTGTGGCGGAAGCTAAGAGCACACAACATTTGGCATTTTGGTTGTGAGGTCAGTCTGCCCTGAGCTGGAAGCTCCTCCCTCTGTTTCTAAGGGGCCTGGGTGTTAGCCCTAGAGTGGCTATGATAACAGTATTACATCAAAGGATTATTGTGAGGATTACATAAAATAGTGCAAGTAAAGCACCTCACTCGGCCCAGTGCTCAGCATGTAATCGCGGGACTTGATTCTGGTAATGATAATGGTGTCATCCAAGAGAAAACCGCCTCACAGCCGAGTTCTTTTGAGAGGCAGCACTAAAGTAGTGGCTGGACTCATGAACCCCGGAGGCTTGTCACCTGGATTCAGATGCCAGCTTTCACCCCTTGCTACACCTCTGAGTGAGGTTGCTCAGCATCTCTCCACGTCAGTGTCATCTTGTGTAAATTGGGAAGGAGAAGGAGGGGAAGGAAAAGGTCTACCTCTTGGCTTGTTGTGGGTGTAAATGACTGAGCTCACATAAAGTCAACTGACACATGCCTGCCAAGGCAATGCATTGAGGACACAGCACCCCATCTGTGAGATGCTTGACAAAAAAGTACATAATCTATGTCTAATTATGAGGAAACAGCAGACAGACCTGAATTTCAGGGACATTCCAAAAAAGATAACCACCCTGTGCCCTTCCAGGAGTACTCTTCAGCGTCATGAAAGACAAAACGAAGCTTCGGGAACAGTCCAGGTAAAAGGAGCCGGGAGAGACACGGCTACCCAATGCCACGTGTGATCCTGGATTGCTTTGACCGACTGAAGGGCATCAATGGGCCAAATCGAATCTCTGGATCTGGAAATTAGGTGATACTGTCAAAACTTTGTTACATTTTTTATTTTGAAAATTACATTGTGTTTATGTAGGGAAATGTCCTTGTTTTTAGGAAATGCTTACCGAAGTATCTAGGAGTAAAGAAGAGTTAAAAAGTATGTAAAGTCCTAAGAGCAATGCCTGGTACATAGCCCCACACGGAGTGTTGGCTGTTACTTGCTAACTGGATTTTCCTGGCGCTGAATCCCACTCAGTATCCGAAGGTGCTGCTGTGGCCCTTCATGGACAGTGTTGCAGGGATCTGGCTGATCTCACTGCTCTTTCTTGTCCTGGGTCCCAGCTCTTGGCTTTGGATCTCATGCAGTCCTAGAAAATATAGGAGAGCTCTCAGGAGTTGCCTTTTCTCAGGCTTAACATCTCTCTGTTCCTCTGAGCTCCCCTGCCCTCTCCGCCTCTCTCCATGGCCCCTCTATGGGCCTCCGTTTCGTGCATTCGGACTGTGGGAGGTGACCCCACCTCGGGTGCCTGGAGCGGAGTCGGGTGGGCAGGACTGCTCTGCCTTGGCAGAGCAACCCCACTTCTTAAACCCAGAAGGTAACTTGGACAGATCCAGAGATGCTCCGCTGAGGAAAGTATCCCCCGGAGATATTCCTAACTTTTACGATTCCCCTCTTCCCTGGTGGGATGAGGTAATCAGGTGGAATATGGGGGAAGGGTGTTAAATAAAAATGCCTACCCAGGCCATACGCTGGTTCCCAAGTCATTGTCTGAATGACTTTGTAGGGACCAAAGATGGCCAGGCAAGGGCAAGGGAGCTCTTTCCAAACCCGGTCCTGCATGGTGGCTAAATCCTGAACCAACCCTCAATGACTTCCGCCTCAGGGTGAGTGGACTGAATCATTGGGTTACCTTGGTTGCTTGGCATCTCCTACAGAAAATACAGTTACCCAGGCTGCATGGTAGGGAAGGCCCACATTCTGTATGATGTGTAAGTAACCTGGGGTCCTACCCACCCTGATCACCATAGGATCATTAGGATACAGGGAGTAAAATGAGAACATGCACACACACAAACATGATGTATGTTCTTTTAAAACTCCAAAGAGAGAGGTTTGCCAATGGGAAGGTTAAAAAAGGGGTGTGACCCCCCCCTCGATTTGTATAGGCCTGAGATGAATGAGAGAGGCGTTGTTCCTACAGGCCCGGTTGGTTGGCTGCACAAGTAGGAGGGGGCGCTTCTTGGGTACTGGGACGGTCTGTCGGAATAGTTTGAGGCCATATCTCCCAGGGAGTGCAACCAGTAGTGACCATGTGCATGTCCAATCCTTTCAGTCCTTTGAACAGCCAAGAACAGTCTCAGGAGTCAAAGAGTCTTTAACACCTCTCTCTAATTTATGAAGGCAGAGAGCAGACTTCAGGCTTAGAGGCACCAGCAAGTAGCCCTATCTAGTGGGAACTGAATAACCTGGTTTTATTTTCATTTATTTATTTATGGCTTTCTTTAGTTTTTTAATAGTTATGGGCAATAGTTTGGAGAGCTTACTGTGTGCCTGGTTAGGCTGTCACACTGGACAAACCTGACGCGGACCCCTGCACTCCCGCAGTGTGCATTCCAGGGGAGAATAAAATATGCAATAATTCAGGTGGTGACAGGTGTCACAGAGGGCGGCCAAGGGGGCTGAGAGGAGCGGGGAGAGGACTGCTTTGCTCTTTTATACATTTAGGTTGGTCTTGACAAGTGGGAGATTTGCTTTCTCTTTCCACAAGTGATATGACATTTCCTTTTAAAATAAAATTTAAGTTAAAGCCAATTTCATTTAAAGAAAATTATAAGTTAGTAGTTGTTCAGCAAGATGGCACACAAATAACTGATATTTTGCAAGCATTCCTCTAAGGTAGTGGTTCCAAGCCTTGGCTGAACCTTAGAGCCACATGTCAGTGGGATTCTAGGCTGTCAATCCTCACTCCACACCAGTGGCCTCAGAACAATCAGCCAAACAAGTGCCCATCCCCCAACCCCACAGGGGTTCACTTTTTGGAGAAATGGAACTGGAGCGGGTGCAGACTCAGATACCAGGCAGGGCAGAGGGTGGGGCTGCGGATCCAGACAGAGAGCTGGAGGGAGGGCGGGGGAGTCTGCTTCCTGGGTGGTGAGATCCTGCTCCTCAGACACCAGCAGTCTGGCTTCTATTTCCCAAGCAAGGTTCTTCTCTGGAGAAACTGAATGGGCCCAAGAAGAATGATTTGCAAATAATGATGTTTTGGGGGTACCTGATGAAAAAGTTGGCTTTCTATCCAATAATAACCAGTAAAACATATGTTTTGGCCGCACCCTCCTTCCAAGAACACAAAGCTTCTAATCAGCTTTCCAACAAAGGACGGTAGGAAGGAATTCCAAATCCAAGCACGCTTAGTTGATTGAGTTTTAAGAAGTTGGTACAGCAGTAGAACTGGAGGGATGGTCCAGCTGTGGATTAAGCAGGTCACACCGTGGTAGCAGCTGGTGGGTGGTGCCACTCAGCTGTTCCGCCATTGGTGCACGCTGGCTAACAAGAAGATCATAGTGTTTGCAGTGAGCCTAGCACTATTCTCAGATCTTTATGTATTATTTTAATCCTCGCACCTCCCTGAGGGAGATACTATTATTTCCCCATTTGCAGGTGAGTAAGCAGAGTTAAGGAACTTGCTACATTCACACAGCTGGGATTTGGATCAAGGCCTCTGGCTCCGGAGTCCCTGCCCTCCACCACTGCAACATGCTGCCTCCAGTTGGCTACACATTTCTAAAGTAAAAAAGAATCTCGGGGATGCACCCCTAGGTTCCTGGAAGGCATCCCCGGGTTCAGGTTGCCTTGAAGACCAGGTGTCTCAGTCTCCCTAACCAGCTGTTTAAAGACCTCCTTGACCTGACCCCTGAGCACTTTTCTGGTGTCATCTCCTGATATGCCTCTGTGCCATCAGTGAACCAGGCTCAGTGGGTTTTCCTCAATTCACGCATTTGTGTTTCCCTGTGCTTTTTGCTTCCTTGATCTTGAATCCCTTCTGCCTCTTTACTTAAGATAATTCTTTTTTGTTGTTGTAACTCAACTCAACCCAGCTCCTTCAGATCAAAGTGCCCAGGACCTGTTCTGTGTGCCCAGGGGATTTGTGCACCTCTGCTACTCTGGAGGGCACCTCTGCTGTTTGCCCCTGCCCCGTGGTGCTCCTCCTTTCTGCTAACAGCCGCCTGGGTTTCCCTGGTCGAGCTGCCCAGAGTGAGCTGCTCTTCCAGGATCCATGTCCATCCTTTTGGGGCATTCTTGCTCTCTGAACATAGAATTTGACTTAGGAACGGACTCATGACCCAAACCAAACCAATCACTCCCAAACCCAGCACTTTGGCTCTACTCCGGGGAAAGAAGCATTGTCTACTGGTCTCACTAAGCTGGTAGGACCCAAACCGCAAACTGTGGGCGGGATCTTTTGCTGCCCCACAGGAGCATAGGGTGGGTGCACAATCTAAGGCTAAAGTCAACACAGAGAGAACAGAGTCAAGAGGTGGAGAAACAAAACAACAGTGCCCTCATTTGAGCAGCTGGGCTCAGCCATGCTTTCCAGAATTTCCTGTGCTTTCCTGGTACATAAACCAGTGTGAGCCCTTGAACTGGCTTGAGTTGAGGTTCATCCCTTGCAAGCACGAGGATCGTCAGTCACCCACGGCCTGAATGCCTTGTATTCGGATGGATCCCCTGGCCCTCACGTGTGATTGATTTCGGGGCCTGATATAGCAGGAATGCTGGGATGAGTGGCCCTTCTTGCTGTGTGTCAGAGGGTCCTGGTCTGTCCCAGCGGCCTTGGGCGCATCCCCCAGTGTGCTGTCTTAGCTTATCTTCAGGAATTCAAACTTTCTGTAACTGCTGACAGCAAAGCCGTTGCTGTGGGCAAACATCTTTTCGCTTGTTCCATTAGAACCACGGCTTAACAGCCTCCTTTTCTTAGAAAACTCTGCCTCGGCCTTGGAAATGAGAAAGGGATGATCCCCCCCAGAGGCTTGCCTCAGGGCACTTTAAAGCATGGCAGATTGGCAGTGGACGCTCTCTCTGTTTTGTTTCAATGTAAACAGAAGACCCACAGCCTGAGAAGCGTGGAGAAACTGGGGAAGAGAAGAAAGAAAAAGCCTCAGCACCAAGGCCTGAGGTTCAGAATTTAAGGAACATCTATGAACAGGTCAGTCCAGAGTAGTCGTCAAGCAAATTGTGTCTTTGGAACCCAACCTGTTCCTAGTTCAGTGCATTGTCCCCTCCATGGGGGCTTCTTGTCCAGCAAGCTACTGAGGTCAGCTGGCCTCTCTGTCCCTTAACCTTAGACTGTTGGAAATTACGTTCCTCATCCTTGGGTGCAAGGACGCACCCACCTCCTGAGCCTCCAGGGTTTTAGTGGCCCTTGTTTCTGGTCACGGAGCTGGATCGGCTGGTAAGTCTCAGATCGTGTCACACCCTCGGGCTTCAAGCCCTTCTGCTGGAAGTGCCCACTCTCCTCGCCCTGCCTCAGCTCCTGCCATGTAGCCCCTGGGCTTCTGTGTGTCTTGAGCTCCAGCCAGACTGTCTCCTTCTTCTCTAACCCACCCCCGGCTCTGAACATGGCTTTACTCTTTTCTACCTCGGTGTCTTTTGTCATATAATTCCCTTTTCCCAGAATGCCCTTCTCCCCCATCTTTTCCTCCAGGTCCACTGCCTTCATCAAGGGCACCTGACCCTCTCCTGTCACTCGGCGGGGGCGTGCTCCGTGCTCCTTGAACTAACCCACCGCCTGGTCTGTGCCTTCGCGGGGCATCTATCACATTCTAGCTTGTGGTTTCGCCATTCAGTTCAGGTTTCATGTTCTCCACGAGACTTTTCAGAGATCAGGTCTGTCTTGCTCATCTTTGAAGAGCAGCACCGGGACGTGGTTATGACCAGGACTCTGGAGCCAGGATGCCTGGGTTCGAAGTGCAGCCCTGCTGTTCACTGACAATGGGACCTCGACATTTTACTTAACATTTCTCCGGTCTTTGTTTTCCTGAGTAAATAGGAATAATAGTAACACCTACGTCACTGCATTGCTGTGAGAATTAAATAAAATAACATACCCATAGTGTTAACTACTGTTAGCCCCCTCCTCTTCATCTCAAGCTCACTCATTCAACAAAAAGCCACCAAATGCTGTGGGTGCAGTGCTCTGGCAGTGGGGTCACAGTGAGGGGCCGGCCAGGTCTCTGCCTCTGGAGGCTCATGCTGCGGAAGGGGAGACCTGTAAACAAACAGATGACCTGTAAAGAAACAGATAACCTAACGAGATAGCGATAAAGGCAGAGAAACGACAAGTGGAAAGATGATGTGCTAGAGAGGGACTCGGAGGCTATGAGATGTATTTTTGATCTCCCTTATGTGATACAAATTGTGGATGTCTTGCGCATTCCCAGTGCTCAAAAACATTCAGGAAAGATGAATAGATGAATAAATAATGAGTTATGATATTTCCCCAAGGGCTTTATTTTCACTGATTCTGGAATCTTGAGGAACTCTTATGGCTCAATGGCTCTCAGGCCTCTGACAGAGGTGGGGTGGGAGGAGGATATTCTGGACAGGAGCCTCTCCTCTGCACGCGCCCCCTTCCATACACTGCGGGAGCCCTTGGCCTCAGGTCAGGCCCCAGTTCTGCTGAGGCGGACCTCCAGTTCAGATGCTTGGTTCTGGCCGAGTCTCCCAGCCCCAGCCAACTGGCAGTGAGGTATACTTTGTGGGCAGTGGAGGGGCCATGGTCAAAGAGGCGCCACCCCCCACCCCCCTTTCTTTTCATGTTCCTGCGAAGCCCATTAAGGACGTGTTTCTGGGAATCAGGCCGCCGTTATGCCTGAGGGCGGACCCAGCCCCTTTCCCACGCTGGAGCACACCTGGAAGCTTTTCCCCCCCTGAAACCACCTCCATGGACCTTTGAGAGCTTATCTTCTGAGGGCGTTCACAGCAGTTCTTACTTCCTGGACGCCACTGGGATAGACCACAGTTCCAACCGTGGTTGGCTAAACACAGGTTGGTTTCTTGGTTTCTTAGCAGAGAACAGAGAACTGCGGAAAGAGATTCCGGGCAGGGCATTTGGATAACGGACGAATGTACCGAGAGCTTGAGATGCTTCCGGAGCAGCGGAGGCATCCCAGGTAGGGAACGCCTGATCAGAGAGCCCGAGGCTGCAGGAGGCCAGGGCTGGGGAAAGGGTGGGGGCAAAGACGAGACCAGGGGGCATCTGAGACAGCTTAGCGCCTGTCACACCCTGCCTGAGGCGGCCAGGCTGAGCCTGAGGCTCCTGTGCTCAGAAGCTCTGTGGGGAGCCAGGTACTAAGTTCGAAAACAACTTTATACCCTTTACTGGTCGGAAGTCATTCTTCGAGCAACGGGAAGACAAAATTCTGAGCCTCGATGCCATATTATCTGTCCCATACTGTCTTCCAGTCCAATTTGGGGACAGCAAGCTTAATGTTCAGCTGGCGTTTCCAGTATGGCCATACAGGGTGTCAAGATGTTGGCACATTTCTGTGATGGTTGGTAAATATGAAAATAGCTGCTTCCCAGCCCCTCCCAGCAATCCTCCCAGCCTCCCATCAAGGCTGGTCCTTTCTGATTGGCAGGTAGCTCCAGCATAGCAGCATCGCTCAACTGGACTACTTAAAAAGGCAGCTCAGGGCTCCGAATACAAGTGTTCCAGAATGTGGTGAAAGTGTATTTTATTGGTTGAAGCAGGCACAAGCCCACCCAGATTTGGGCGAGGGGGTGTGGGACAACATAGGCGCCACCTCTCAATGGCAGGAGTGGCAAATTCACATTGTAGGAGAGCAGGTGGGATGGAAGATATTGTTGTGGCC